TCCAAATTATGTTAGTTTTTTGGATGTTCTTTTTTTTAATGTTGTATTATTTTTTTGTGTTAGTAAAATATGCAAGGTAGGTGTCTAGGGGAGTTAAATCTTCATACCTTCAGATGACGTACAGGACTGATAGCCAAAGCCAAATACCCTCTCCAAGCTTTTGAATGGGAGCAGAGCACTATTGTATGCTTTCTTTAGAAATATGTTGGATTCAATTTTTTTTTTTTTTTTTTTTTTAATATGAGCACATCTGCTGAGAACTGCTGCTAGTTTACACACTGGAGGTAACAGCTCAGCCATCTGATGGTGACAGTCATAACTAGTGTCCTGAAATGCATTTGGCCCGTAACCAAGGTGACAAAATGAGCAGTTTTGAGGAATGAAACAGCTCCCTGTATTACAAAACAGTAGTTGCATAAAATATCATGTCTGCTCTAATAAAAATATGTTTAAATTTCTTGTCTTTTATTTTAAAAAAATGCTGGGGGGAATTAGAATTCACATTTAAAAATAACTTTGCTGGTTACGTTACTTTCTTGTCTATTTATATATATGTTTGAGGTTTGTGATAGCTTATTCACCAGTAGTTTTCTTGCTCACAACTAGCACTCTGAACTGCTGTAGCTGGGTTTCCCAGTGTATTTCTTGCCATTTGAACCTGTCACTATTGTGTGTGCTTGTACAAACCATCTGTGACTGTGGTTCAGAAATTGTAGCTTTGCTCTGGCTTTTTCTCCCCACAGGAATAAAAAGTCAGTTTGCATCTCAAGCTGTTACTGTCTCTCCTGTCTTCTCAGAAATTTTTTTTCCTCATCTTTGCTTAGATGTTCAAGAAATGATGCATAACTCCCATGTAAAATCAAGTGGGATGAAATGAAAAATATTTTTTTCATTTATATGTAAACATTAATACCAATTTTTAAGGTTGAATATTAATAAGCACTGTAAGGGCATGCATTTTTAATGTAGCTGCTGCTCACGTTTGAAATTAGGTCACTCAGATTTTCTTCTTACTCTTTATTCCAGCAGTTAATGTATCACATGAAAGTAGAGTTCAAGACCAGTGTTTTATACTAATTAGAAGCAGACTGAAGGTTGTATTTGCAAGGCAAAATACAAAACTTTATTTCTTTATTTTATCTCTAGTAGCTCTTGAAGAAGCTGGTAAACCTGGAAATGAAATAGAGGCAAAACTGTGTGCCTTAAGGTGTATTATGCAATCACTCCTGGTTGGAAACAAGAAGGAGTCTGATTCCAAATGCTTGCAGCAGGCAGTTGGAGATATGCCAAGGTGGCACTATAAAACAGTCATTTGCACTGGGGTTTGGGCAGGGGTTGGGATTGTTATTGTTTTACCCATGGAGTTTTAAAGGTTACTCAAAGCAAAAGTTGATCTTTTAGATGGAATTTCAAATGGTCTTTTTCTCTATAGGAGTATCTTGGGTGCCAAATTTCTGATAGGGTATCTTGTAAAAGTAAAACTAATTTTTTAATATTTTTTTTTAAACCACACTTGCATCATTGTTTGCAAGATGACAATTTCTGTGCTCTGAATAAATAATGGAAATGCAGTTCTAAATGTTTTAAATCAGTCATGAACAGCAAAAGGTAACAGTAACTCCTAAGAAGCTGAAAATGGTCTTGAAAGCTTATTGATTGCTATTTACTAAAATTGTTTAAAAGTTTAAGTGTGTATGAAGTTAACATGGGTTTCTATAAGGCTACAACAATAGCGATTAACAGATTTTTGCAGTTGTCATACTTTGAATGAAGTATAATATTGTTATGTTTAAAGTGTGTTAGACTATTACAAAAAGAACCTAATTGTGGTGTTTTCTTTCAGCTCCAGTGATAAACCGATTCACCAGACGGGCATCAGGTAAGTTGAATAAAGTTGCATGTTTCATTGGTCTACATGATACTTGAAACATAATGCTGGTGGTGATTGTCATGTAAAACATAATATGCCATTAGTCAGGTTTCTTTAAAGATGACTGATTGAGGTTAACCTCAAATTTATCTTGTTTACTGAAAAACGTAGCCAAAGTTTCAGGTTACAGAACTTGCATGAAACTTTCTTGTTGATGTGTTTATGAAAAACCTAAGCTTTTTCCCTTTAAGGAAAATAATTTTAGTCCTAACAAAACTGAACTTTGACAGGAAGAACTGAATGTAATGGATGCAGAGCTGTCTTGCTTGCTTCACAGACAGGCTGAAACAGCAATTTGGTGGTCATCTATGCATGAGAAAATGTACAACCATGCTAGAAATCTCCCTGTGTTTTTCAAAACCGAGCTGGTTTGTGTACATGGTGTGTTGTTCTGCTGCACAGAGCTGGCAGATCAGGTCCTAGAAGCAGCACTGCTGTGGTGGTGGTATGTTGTGCTGGGAGTGCACCTGCCTAGCTTGGTGCCGGTTTGTGTATTCTTCAGGTTAACTTTCATGCCAGCTGAGAGAACTGTTTACCTTGCTCCGTTACATGTAACAGATCCCTCCAAATTATGTGTCATTAAAAATTAATATTCTTGGCTTCTCCTTATTGTTCTGCTGTACCATAGCCTTCAGGTTTCATTTTTGAGGGCTTTTTCTCCTGAAGCATGACACTGAGAACCTAAGTCTTATTTGTTTGAAATACTGTGTATCCAAAAGTGGGGTGTAAAAGCCACCACTGAATGTAATGAGACTCATAACTGACTCATGAGAGTCAGTAGGACATTTGTGTTCCATGATGCACTAAGCCTATCCAGACTTCTAATTTTGCTAGTTATAACCTCAGTCAGACAGTTCCTTGTCAATATAAAAATGTTAGTGGAGATCCTCAGGATTGGTAAGGAACTGTCTAGAAAAAATGGAGGTTTGCATTTGCAGGATTGGTGCATAGCATACAAGGCACAAAGTAAGAAAATTTAATGAATTTCAAATATTGTCATGTTTTAAGTAATGATAATACTTCATGAGGTACTGTAGCTTGAAATGAAAGGAATGATTCATTAACTAGCACCCGGTAACAGTGAGCAGGGCTTTATGCAAATTACATTTCATGTTTTAAGGAAAGTTTTACTGTGACTGATAGCTGACTTTAATGAATGTAGTCCTTGTAACAGATGTGGGATAAAATTTTGCATTTCAGGACAGTTTTATTGTTTGAAAAGCTAATACTTGCTGAGGAAAAAAAAGCCTGTTATTTTTAATGTTACTTTAAAACAAAACTAAAAACATGTTAGAAGACCGAAATTTTTGCACAATTATTGGGGAAATAATTGCTATGGGCAGTTAATGTTTCATGTGTTTTGGTCTTGTGGAGCGATAGTTATCTTATTCAGAACAATGAGTCAAGTTGTATGCTACAGTCCAGATGTAAATCACGTGAATACACTTTAAGCTGGAACAAGGTAATACTGCAGTCTACTATATGTACTATTTCATTGTTTCTGGCAGCTTTAATAGTCAAAATAATTATTTTTCAAACAATAAAGTCCATGAAAGGTGATAGTTCTTACTTCTTAAATACTAAGTGACTACTGGAGAGGTACAATATATTTAAGAAACTTTATTGATAAAATATAAAATTAAAAATGTGAAACAGACTATGCTGATAATACAGATGTTTTTCAGGGATGTTTGCAGTCCTAACCATATTTTTAGATACTGTTTTAAACTGAACAACTGTTTAGATACATTGAGGTAGTCAAGATACCTTGCAAGTGAAAAAGCCAGATAGTAGCTGTTCTTTTATGCATGGTAGCTTAATAGCATTCTGTTAACTGCAGTTGATTCTTATGTTTAGGAAATCAGAGGCTGGCCAAGCATAGAGTGAACTATTTTAAAAATTGAAATGTGCAAGATTGTTCATTTTTGAGCAGTTTTGAAGATGGCTTTTGATGAATGTTACTCCAAGTTAATGATGAATATTGGGAAAGTTAGCTGTAGCATGTGGTTTTGTGTTGCATCTGATCTAGTGATACTGTAGACTGATTCTGAGAGTGATTTTAGGGTCCCTTCCTTTGTCTCTACTTCCCTTGCATAGACCTAGGAGTTTTGCTGCCTGAGGGTGCATTGATTTAAAGAAAATAGAAATACAGGAGGTTTAGGTGTGTTGATTTTCATTGGGTCTCCAACTGGCCTGTGCGGTGGCTTCCAAATAACTCAATCTGAAAGAGTGGTAGTAGTGGCTGCCTTTAGCCAGTGGTGGGATGAAGAAAGAGCTGAACTACTGACATCAGTTGAGGCAAAACATCCAATGATAGCTGCAGCAAAGGCTCCTTGACTATTCTACTAAAAGGTGCTTTCTGAGCTCTTGCGATGATAATCAGGGAGAAGCCAGGAGATTACACATATTTCTTGTCAAAGAACAGTAATTCTCTGCAGTGGGTATCTTGATTTTGATATTTCTGTTATTCTTTGGATAATGCTTCGTATTTTACTTGGTGGCATAAGATATGGTTATTTTTCCTAACAACTGAGTTAGAAATTAAGCAGCCAGAGTTTAATTGCTGAAGCACCTGATGAAAACAATACAGTAAAGCATTTATTATTTAACAGCTGTTCCTGTTAACATGCTGTGGATGTATTAATGTGCTGTCATTGGTACGTAAAGGATAAAGGCATAAGTAAGCTATGATCAATTGTTCACGAATTTGAATTCTTAAAATTTATTGAGCATCTATTCTTTGTGTTTAGGCATATGTGTGTATACATGCAATGAGGGCTCTGTATATAAAATACACATATTACTGATGACATAGCTACTTATGGACTAGTTAATAATGCACTCCATCATTCTAGGCTATGCACAAAGAATAATAGGTATCAGTCTTAAATAAAGGAGTTTAGCAAGAGGGGAGATGAAAAATACTTTCTAGAGTTAGAATGAACAATGAGACAGCTGCAAGTAGTTAATCCTTAATTTTTCTTTTAAAATCTGGTGGGACTGTGATGAAGAGAAAGGAGAAAAACTATTGAGGCGATCAAGAGACTTGGATGGGAAGAAAGGGGGACATGGATGTAGAAGCAGCATGAAGTGGAAGAGAAAGCTGTGAGTATGTTTATGAGGTGACAAATGAGTGGAAATTCCTGAACAAGCCAAGGTAGCCAAGAGGTGCAGTTTCTGAGGACAGATACTTTCTTGCTATGGATTAGTCTTCATTGATCCAAACATGAGATACCTAGGGATAGAAAGCTAATGTCATTCTGTATGTTAGCAGAAGCATTGGATTCCTGCTTTTCAGCATCTTGATGGATAGATAAACAAGTAAATTATCTCATTAAATACTGGCAGGAGTTTAGAATAATGTAACAAAACCAGCATGGGTTTGCTAGAGAACAAGCTTAAGTTTATACTTGATAGATAACATTTATGGAGGCTATTTAACCCCATTTACTAGTATTATATACAAATGTATAATATCATCTTAATTAAGTCTATAAATTTACTTCAGTTATGTATCTGCATAAGCTTCTGAAAGAGTGAAGAGAACCTAACTGAGGTTGCTGTGAGTTAGCTTTCTCAAGCTAAGAAGAACTGGTAGACAGGCTCAAGGGCATCTGTGGGGCATGTCTTGTTAACCACAGAGATAACTTCCTATTCCTAAACATTTCTCTCCCCCAAACAATATCTAACTTCAAAATACCTTTTTCATCCTGTGGAAAGGAAATAAATGAAGTTTTATATGTTTTTCTCTCAATGAAATGGGAAAGAGAAGGAAGCAATTTTTTTATGCCTTGTGAAAAGGATGTGTTTAATTCATTTAGCAGGTACTAAAATTCAATATTTTTGTATGTACACTCATGTACTGTGGTAATTTCTGATAAAGATGGGGCTGTGTTTAGTGGCTTGTTTCTCTTTTAATCCTTTCTTCCTCTTTTTATGGAAGTACAGAAGTTTATCTAATAACCAAAACTCGTTTTACTTCACTCTAAAATTTCAGACTTACAAAACATCAACAGTTGGACAAGAAGGAAGGAGATGCAACATTATCTCTATTCTTAATTGGTTGAGATGCCCAAAATCTGTGAATAATGGAACTGTCTAACACAGATGGTAATTAATTTGAATTGGTAGAGAAGTTGGTTTAGTTTGCTTCTGCTCAAGCCTTGCAATTATTCAAATTTTTTTTTCAGTAAGAATTTGTGCAGGTTAGAAATGTTTTCTGTTATTAAGTGTTTTCTGCTGACTAGGAAACCTATGACATTTTCAGTTGTTTTATAGTTTTCAGAAAGAAGTGTATCTTTTAATCAAAACACATTGATTAATTTCTTAGCACCTCAAGCTAGTTGTTTTTAATTAAAACACTGCATACGCCAGTGAAACACTTCACCAACAAGTTATATATAATGATGCTGTAAAGTACTAATGATGATATCAGTGGTGGGTTGCCTGTCAGACCTCCAAGCTCTGTGACTATGCAGTGGCGAGCAAGACAGTGCCACTGCATCAGAGACCAGCCACGTGCATGCACACCTCGTCACACACAGGTCACATCACAGGGCTGTCCCTACATCATGACCAGCCCATGGCCCTTCCTGCCCAAGCTGGTTGCACCCTCATCACGTGGCCGTGGCAATGGGTGTTCTCCACTCTCCCATGCTGACGCACAGGGCTCACACCTCTGCCTGGCATGTGATAGATGCCTGCCTTTTGGCTCGCATTCAGATAGGAGGAGGGAGGTTCTATGAAGCCCTCATAAAAGAGAAAATCTGGGAGCAAGTTTGCCAGAAGAATTTATCTATTCTTCTTCTCATTCTTCCTCTTTGCGTAAGGTGCCATTAGAAAGAAAGTGACAAGATAAAAGTTTTGGGCTTCATTATTCTGAACAGATGTGTGGACTGTGGATTAGTCATGCCCACAGTAGCATTTACATATATCACTGCTAGTTTTCAGTTTAACAATTTCTACAGAAAATTTGACAACCTACTTAAGAAACACTGAGGAATTTTACTGAATTTAGACCATGGAAGTCCTGTTAGTAAGGAATGGCTAACTGCTTAGAGAAATTATAAGTATGGAAGAACATGGGTGATATTAAATTTGTTAAATATAAACTAGTATTTAGGAAAAGCAAATCAGTACTGTTAGCCAAGAACAGAATATGCCCCTAGAAACAATATTTCATTTGTAATTTCGATCTGCTTGAATTATATTGAGATTTTCTTAGAGATTGGCACCCACCTTCCTATGGCATGTTAAAAATTGTTAGAGAAAGGCAACTAATTGAAATGAAGTGCTATTCCCTTTTATAAAGTAAGGCAGAAGCTGGAGTTGTACCAAAAATGATGGTGAGGAATGAAGTAACTGTAAACTCTCCTTCAAAATGCTCAGGTAGGAGGCAGTGTTGTTGTAGAAGCATATCAAGTCATAGTGACAATGTTAGTTCTTCAAGCAGAGTTACTAGTTCTGCTTGTTCTGAGCAATGAACAACCCCCAAACTGGAATCAAGTGACGTGTTCATCTTTGTTCTTTGTTACATGCATGTAGCCAATCCATAATTTAAGATGCCTAATCCTTATTTTTTAAAATAAACAGGAACATAGTCAGCTGACATACAGTAGGGTCTAATGCTAAAACCTAGTTAAGCACTAAGGCTGCTACCATAGCAGTGAGGAAAATCAGGAGAAAAAGTGCTGTCAGAGTTTTAGGCTGTATCTACAGAGCACAGTTAAAAAGGCACCTAAGCTTATGGTAGCACATCAGAATGGAAAAATGTGGCTTACTGGAGGTCACAGAAGAATATCTTACCTAAGTTCACTCTGCTGAAGGTATTGTTAGATGGTGCTAACTTCTGCGGGGCTGCAGCTGTACATGGGTGCAGACATGCGTTGTGTGAGTGGACGTGCCCTTCGTTTACTTCCTGCTCCACTTGCAAGGCAGTCACCTCTTCTGTCTGATGCAGCTTTCCTAGGCAGCCGTGCCTCTTCCACCACGTTCTGTAATAACAGCTGCCTCAGTTGCTAATTGCTGAGAACATACTCTCTTTTGTGATTTTGCCAAATGCATTGTATGGTCTGTACTCTCCAATCCTTACAGAGAATATTGTCTTGTCATGGTCTCTCTTATAGTTATCATCATTGTAACACTTAAATCCTTCATGATCCTTGAGGAATTACCCAGCACCCTTTTCCATTAATGAATGAGGAGTATCCCGAGTTTATAGGGAACCAGAGCATTGATATTCAAGTCAGAATGTGTATTGCTAATTTTGCTTGCATCAGAAATAATTCCCTACATGCAATCCCTGTTTTCTTTCCATGAAGCATTTAGCATCTTAACTCGTACAGAATATAGCTGTAATTGTATGTGCAGAGCAGTTTAAAGACAGGGTGATTGTATCTCTTTGTCCTGTGGTATGTCTACCCTGTTTTTTTTTTTCCGTGTGCCATAGTGAAACTTGCAACTCATATTCTGTCTGCTCTTGCAGGGTTATGCCATGGCCAATGTCACAGGGAGAAACAAGCCACAGAGTTTTCCCAAGAGTAGCTGTCACGTCCTGCTCAGACAAGGGGGACAAGTGACTCAGATTCACAAATCCCCAATTGGAGTGGACAACAAGTCTCCAAGTTCAAGCATTTATTAACTACCTACAATGTACTAATTGAACACACGATAATTGGCTAAGTACAGAGCAAGTTGTGGCGAGCAATATAATATGCCTTGCATTTCTTAATGGAAAAAGGAAAATAGGGAGGTAGAGGGAATGGGGGAATACAGATCACCGGTCTTGGTTCCTGTGCTGATCCTGCCGGCGAGGGTTCCAGCGCCTGTCTTTTTCACTGGCATCTGTCTTCTTCGCTTCCCTGCTCTCTCCAGTGTGTGTTTATGTGTGTGTGTGCGCAGAGGGAGAGGGGCAGAGAGAGAGCGAGCCCTTTCTTCCCTCCTTTGATTTATACCCACTTTCCTTGGGTCTATCCCCTATGTTGACCCACAGACCTACGTATCCCATGTACAGGGAGGTGTAAGGTGTTTCATGGGATCATGTAATTAGCATGATCATGACAGCCCTCGTTAGCATATTGAGGGGTGTTAACTGTAATAAGGATTTCATGGATAATGAAGCAAAGTTCATTCATCAGACACATGGCCCTTGAAATTTGCCCAGATGCCCCAGCGGAGAGCCATCCTGTCTCCACAGGGCTCTCTCCCCCAGCTACATCAGGCAGCGTTATCAGCTTTGGCCTCCACAGAATGCACCCTGTGACTCATAGTTTTGTCTTGTGAGTGTTTGAGACATTTCTTCAATCAGCCTCAACTTTTGCTTTCCCAGGCTGTTTGTCTTAGTTTCTCACAGGCCTGGTTTCTTGTCTCTCACAGTAGCCTCTGATATCAGATGCCACAAGAGCCAGGGGGACTTGTCACTGAACTAAGCTTAGTGTGCTGTATAACAATATGGGCACAGTGCACTGAACTGCAGGCACCTTATAGCCACTGGGTCGGGGGAGAGTGCTGTGCTTCAGTCTGGTCCTGGTGCAGCTGAAAGTACAAGTGGTGTTCCTCAGGGCTCGGTGTTGGGGCCATTTCTGTTCAACATCTTTGCTGATGATCTTGATAAGAACATAGAGTGTATCATCAGTAAATTCACAGATGACACCAAGTTAAGCAGGAGTGTCGATCTGCATGAGGGCAGGGGAGCTCTACAGAGAGACTTGGGTAGATTGGATCGGTGGCCAACGTTAATGGGATGAGCTTCCACAAGGCCAAGTGCCAGGTCCTGCACTTGGGCCACAACCACCCCATGCATGGCTACAGGCTTGGGGAGTTGTGGCTGGAGCTGTCTGGAAGGGAAGGATCTGGGGGTTCTAACTGACAAGCAGCTGAACATGAGCCAGCAGTGTGCCCAGGTGGCCAAGAAAGCCAACGGCATCCTGGCCTGTATCAGCAATAGTGTGACCAGCAGAAGTAGGGAGGTGACAGTCCCCCTGTACTCTGCACTGGTGAGGCCACAGCTGGAGTATTGTGTCCAGTTTTGGGCACCTCAGTATGAGAGAGATATCGAGGTGCTGGAGCGAGTGAAGAGGAGGGCAACGAAGCTGGTGAAGGGACTG